TATGGGTCTACGAAAGTATTTCAGTCGAGAAGGAGCTACACAAGTGTTGATCATCGATAACGGATCGCAGTTCTGCGTTGCGGAGATAAAAACTCAACTAGATAGTATTCTTTGTCGACATCTGCGCATATCACGTCATCCTTTTTCAAACGGTGCAGTGAGAACAGTTGGTAAAAATCGTTTAAGAGCGCCATTGCTTCTGCAAGTTCGAAGACATTTTAGAGTTGGAGATACCCTTGGACAAGTTCCTGTTGCAATACCGAAAGGCGGCACGCGCCATCACCAAATAAAGTGTAGCTGAAACGTTCGAAGCAGAAGTTTTACGATTCTCATTACCTTGTGCTGATTCCAATAACGTGGTGCACTTCCGGCGAAACCACCTGAGATCATCAAGAGAAATGGTAAACTGATAGATTGAACAAGCTATATTGGAGATCACTGACCTGACAGGTGAGAGTGTTCATTTATTTCACATCGAACAAATACATTTTAAGGAGCCTCCTAGTTCGACTGAGGATTCTACACAAGAGATCCCAGAAAGCTCGTCCGAGGATACGGTGTTGCTAGATACGGAAAACCGCAACCAGCACTTCTATTCTCCTGGAACACCTACTAATGGGAATGTCCCAATGGCGTGGTAAAGACCAAGCAGAAGAGCAAGTAAAATAGACTAAGCTCTTTTGAGGGAGGGTTATTGCTGTCATCCTGGCCTACGGGGTATCGACGCGTTACAGTTCCTGGACAGCAAACAACCAGCAAAAGGTACTAACAAGTCAGAAGTCTTGCGGTTCAGACAGAAGTTATAAGACGTCAAGAACACAGACAGGTCATTGGTGGAGATCTGAATAATCAACAAAACTCCACTGAACATGTTCTTTAATCTCATTAATTTTCCGGAATAAGCTAACCGTTACTACTTCTGTGACCTTTTTCCTGGGTATCGATGACGGGAGATCACAGCGCACGATCGCTAGTGCAATACCGTGCTTCAGTTGCAACCTTTATTTGTGATCCGTAATTAGTGCCTATTCTCATCATTATACTTTAGCAATCGAATTTACACCTCTTTTCCTGTGGCTAGCATCCGACTGCGAACCTGCCTTTGTAATCGTTCACGTACTTTAATCAGGGGGTGGAAGCCCTGGGCTACATGACCAGTGTGATTTTTTTCAGCTAGGAATGAAACCACTTCGCTGGCGAGTGACTTAAATGAGCTTGTTCACTAGCCTGTTGTTTTGTTTGAAATGTGGACTATTCGCAAAATATTTATATTCATTATCGGTCATATATATCGAGAGGCAGTAGCACCATGTGGTTACAGAGTGTATCTTCGCCTGTATGACTCAGTTGAATTACAAACTTACTTACTCTCATACAAGAGCCTACGCTGTTTTTCTTATACATTGTTTAGCTATTCTTTCAGAAAAGTTTTAACAACTTTGTATGTATAACTTTGATTCAGGCTACATCGTGTGTGTTTGAATTTCATTTGCTCGCCATATCATTTATTCACAATTAACTGCGGGTTAAATGTGGATTTACTCGTGATTTTACCATATGGCAGTTGAATATTGGCCTATTGAGGTGGATATAAATTGATCCAAGTAAATAAAAGCCAGTCCTACATAAACTTGTACTCCACAACTCACTTGCAAATAGCTTTCCACCACGTCCTATATCCCACGGGCTTGTAAACATGGAGTAAACAGTCGGCGAGAAGCGAAGGCATTGAAAGATCACGGACATATAACACTGCATAGTGCAAGGGAAAATACAAATGAGGAATTGTTTTAGAACTTCCTGAGAAAAAAGTGGTGCAATCGGGTTGTGAAGTTGAGATCCACAACAGACTACAGATTGCATTTTATCAATATCTCATCCTCGAGCCAGTCAACCTTATTAAGCATGTGGTCAATGGAGTGATAACTACGAAGATTCAACACATCGACGTGATTAAACAGGGTCCAACCGGATTAATTAAGGCGAACATTCGACTTATGACACGCGGATCGAATCATGCAGCTGTGCGATGAATTCCCCGTATCACTGTCCATATTTAGTCCTGAAAGATCAAACAGATGTAAATAAATTGTCATCGAGGCCATCATTCTACGGAGTGCTAATGATTGATTTGTAGATAAACTACATCCGTGAGGTTTCGAAAATTTAGGTATGTTCCCAAAACATGCTGGCATGGACTAGCTCACGATATACGCGTTCTAGTATAGAATACCTCGTTCTAATAGACAGCACGTGGGGTCGGTTTACCTTCGTGTAAAATGCAACCTGAAATTTTGTAAGCCCGGCACAGATAGTGATGATGGTAGAGACGTTGGTGATTGTTGTGCCGAGGAATGAGGAACAACTTGACTGTTCCATGACTATCAGTTAACGCAGGGTAAGCGAGAACATTCATTCCAAACCGTGGAAGGTGAGTGATTGTTTGCAATGATTCACAGTTGTACTTGTCCAATTCATTTAGGACTTTCGTTTTAGGTGTGCAGGTTTTTGCTCTGGATCAAAAGTTTATACGGCATAAGGGAAGAGAAAAAAGTGGACACTTCATCAAAAGGATATTGAGTACACCTGATTCGTTAAAGTATCTAGGCTGTGCGGCCCAGCTGATTCATGCAACATAAAACTCTTCCAGCAAAATCAAATGTAACTGGAGGTTGGTTTTGAAAACAGTTAAATTGGCTTAAACTAATCCATAACAAATGTATACATGATATGTGTGAGTTTACACTTCCGACCCGAAACAGGAAAAGCATTCACCGTATAATTCGCCATATTAAAATTACTCCCGTGAGTTTTCTTTCCAGCTCTTTCTCCGGATATCTGAAAGCTTGTTCCATGATGCTCATGAAAAA